CTCTACGAGCAAAATCATATGCTTATATTATGGCAAAATGCGTTCGAGGGCATGTAGTTAAAAATCATATGACTTTCAGAGATCATTTGGATTGCCTGTTCGCTGATGAAGAAAAAGATAACTCTAAACTGAATAATAGGGAAAATGTATCCATCAGATCATTGATATATCATATTAAAACTGACGACTTTTATAAAGATTTAAGGACAACGCGAACTTGGTGGACCGTATGGATACTTCAGATTTACCACAAGACCACATCTTTCATCTTTCAGTTTCATTAATGGTTATATTCAATATTATAACCAAGTATGATTAATAACTTGCACATTATTTGTTTAAGCTAACAAAGCTTAAGCTACATTAAAGATCAAACATTACATTTATGCATAATTATCATTTATTAGAATTGAATTGAAGCATCCACCACACACACACACGCACACACACACACACACAATCCTATTCTGGATTAGGTTAGGTTAAGTTAGTTTCTTGTAGGTTATAATGAAAATTAAATAAGAGTATTTTGAAAAAATTAAATATTAGAAAAAAAAATGAAAAGTTATGATCGTCATTTAACAATATTATATTGGTAATATAATATTTAGTTGAAAAAAATTATTTTAAAAGTATTAATTAGCTAAAATAGCTTCCTTTAGTTTTTTTTAATCATTACTATGAATTTTCATATGGTAATTTAATTTTGATCTTATTACAAATGCTTTATTACAGATATCACACTTGTGTGGTTTCAACCCAGCATGATTTTTCATGTGAATATTATATGATGCTTTATGTCGAATACTTATATTACATATATCACATTTATAAGGTTTTTCACCAGTATGAGTTCTCATATGAATATTTCTAGTATATTTATGAGCAAATCTTTTTGAACAGATGTTACACTTGAACAATTTTTCTCCTGTATGATTTAAAATATGAGTAATTAACTGTGGTTTTTGATGAAATGATTGTTTACAGATATCACATTTAAAAGGGGATTCTCCGGTGTGTATTCTCATGTGTAATTTCAAATTGAATGCTGAAGTATAAGAATTATTACAAACATCACATTTATGAGGCTTAAAATCAGCATGGAAATAAATTATATGGTTTCTCACACTGGATTTTTGAGTAAATGTCCTAGAACATAAGTTACACTCAAAAGGTTTATTTCCAGTATGAGACTTTTTATGTATATCCAAAACTCGCTTTAAAACAAAACTTTTATTACATATATCACATGTATATGGCTTATTTCTGGTGGTATGATTATATTTGTTATGAATTTTTAGTCCCGAAGATGTTGTACAACTGTAATCACATATTTTGCATTCAAAAGGCTTTTCTCCAGTATGAGTTCTTATATGTAAATTCAAAGAATTAGATACAGCAAATGATTTATTACAAACATGACATGCATAAGGTTTTTCGCCAGTATGTGTCCTTCTATGCACTTTTAAATGTACAGCTTGATTAAATGCCTTATCACAGATATCACATTTATAAGGTTTAATGATAGAATGAATGACCATATGATTTTTTAAAATTGATGCTATTGGAAATGACTTATTACACACAATACATCTATGAGGATTTTCACCTTTATGCTTCATCATATGGTATTGTAGACTAGTTGAATTAGTTAATAACTTATGACAGATACCACATTTAAATGGCTTTTCTTTTGTATGAACTGACAGGTGTGATTTTAATTGRGTTCTATTAACAAAAGTCTTGTCACACTCAGTACATTTGTGAGGTTTCAAACCTGTATGGCTCATCATATGTGTAACCAAACTTACTTTCAAATTAAAAGTTTTACTACAAAGTTCGCATTTAAAAGGCTTTTCACCAGTGTGAATTCTTGAGTGCTCTTTAAAATGAGTAGGATCAGAAAATGTTTTATTACAGACAGTGCATTTGTAACGCTTATTTTCACTATGGGACCATTTGTGTCTTTTCAAATGTGAAATGTTATAATATGAATTATTACAAATGTCACAACAAAATGRTTTTTCTCTTTTATTTGTATGAATCATTTTATGTCTTGTCAAATGTCCTTTTGTATTAAATGATTTAATACAGACATCACATTTGTGAGGTTTTACTCCAGTATGTTTTCTCATATGATTGTCAAAAACTCCTTTAAAAAAAAATCTTTGATGACAGATATCACATTTATATGGCATATTTTCAGTATGAATCCTCATATGAATTCTTACATAACCCTTTCGGCTAAATGTTTTATTACAAACACTGCATTTGTGAGGATTATCTGTATGATTTAAAATATGAGTAATCAACTGTGCTTTGAGATGAAACGATTTTTTACATATATCACATGTAAAAGTTGATTTTTTACTATAAATTTTTAAATGACTTCTCTTACTTAATTTATCCGGAAATATTTCACAGCACAATTTACATGTTAACGTATTTTCCATTAAGTTTGAGCTCTTGTCCGAATTCATATAAGCAATGAATTCTGAAGAGTGGCTTTTAGCAATAACAATACCTTCAAATTCATAGTCATTGATCACATCTTTTTCAATTTTTATAGCAGCATCATTTATTGTGTTAATTTTTTTTTCAGTTTCACACATAGTCCTAAAAAATTAAATTAATTAAGTCAAAAATATCTCATAAGTAGCATAAYTTTCTAATAAACTTTTTCTTTTAGATGGGTTAGAAGCCCTTGTTAGAAACCTTCTATTAAAAGTTTGAATGTCACCAATGAAAAAAAAACTTATGCATTTCTAACTGAAAAAAATTTACATTTGAAAAGTTATCATGGTTATAAATAACTCAAAGGGGTCAAAATTGATAGAAAATTCGATAATTTGATTATTTACCMCTAAATATGAAATATCATAAAATCAAACGTTCAAAAAGCATCCAAGAAAATTTTAATATGTTTAAAAATGGTCATTTCAACATATGGCGAGTATGGAAAATGATTAATAGTCGATATTTGAAAAGACGTTTATTCAAATCTTGTTTTATTAGGAACTTCATTTTCATATGCAACATAATGTATAAAATATAAATGTTTGAATCTTTTATTTTTTTAAATCACTATCGTTTTAATTATCATGCATAGGAATTAATAATTATCATTTTGATAAGACTCAATTATTTTAATCCTTATTTTTGTATTCTATGTGATAATGGAAATATAAAAATTTGAATCTTTTTGAACAAATGTAATTTCAAACTTTGTTGATTAATGCCAATGTACACTAAAACGTGTATAATTTCTTAATGATRTTATTTCAACMCTAAATAATTTATAAGCATGTTAATTATAGTCTATAAGTATGTATATTTGACAAATGCTAATTCAAATTTTGTCAATTAATTACTGTTACTTACAGTGCATCTATTTTAAAAAATATGTCATTTAAATTCATGACAAATCAATAGAATATTTTTCAAACTTTCACATAAGCCATTTTCATTCTATTTCACATATGCTTTACAATATTCTGTTTAATATATATCCACGCTTGTATGTTATTTACAAGGTTTTTATAGCAGCCAAATTTATATTCGTCAGTAACTGACAACTTATTTCTCTTTTAACTAAATATTAACTTCATAATAACAAAACATTTTGATGTATAAATGACAATGTCATTCAAGACTTATCAGTGATCACTGACATTATTATACCTCATAATTTATTTCTATTTTATCTTACAAGCTATTAAAAGGATTTGATACCCGCATGTGTTGTCTCCGTCTTACAAGTGCGTAACATACCAAATTTAACGCTCAGCAGATCACACTTTGCTTTGTTAGTTTAAAAGTTAGAGTAAATATTTTATTTTTATATTTAATATTTAAATTGACCTTTCATAAAATGTAAAGGTAAGAATATTCTTTAGATGAGTTTGTGGGCTTTTTACTATATTTCAATTTTGAAGCGAGTTTTAAGTATTTTAAGATGTACAAAAATTGTATGATTATTAAATACTTATAACTTGATTCAAAATTAAAATATAGTAAAAAGCCCACAAAGTCATCTAAATAATACARGGTGTCCCGTGAGGAATTACCCATTGCGATATCTCCCAAAATAATGGTGATATCGAAATTCTGGTTTTGTAATAAGACTCGCAGGGATAAGAACTACAATTATTTCATATTTTAATGTTTTGGTAAAAAAGTTAAAAAAAATATTTTTTATTTGATTATTTCAAAAAAAAATTAAAGATAGCCATTTTGTTGAGTTTATTTTTCTGAAAATATTGACGTTTCAAAATTTTATTTTCATTAATTTCCTGATTTTTAATATTTTTTTTAGTTTTAAGAAAAATTG